TCCCCCCAGGCGAAGCCCACCCTCAGTCATCGCCCGTGGGGCGCTGGAGGTTCTGCATCAACCAAACCATCCGGAACCGTGAAGCCACTGGTGGGTCCTGGGGGGCCGGGGGGGGACACGGACCCCCTGCCACCCTCCTGGCACTGGGGGTGTCCCCCATTTCCCTCCGTGATTGAAGTGTCCCCTCCCTGCAGGTCCTGGGGGACCCCCGCCCGCCCGGAGAGCCCTGGGGTCATGTCCCCAAGGACAGGGGACGAGTGACAGCGGAGCATCGGAGCGGGACGGGCCAGGGGGGCCGGACACAGGCATCCCTAAAGCCCCGGATGGTCCCCAGGGGTCAGCTGTGCCCAAAGCCGAGGAGCTCGGTGTCCCCCAGGCACCAGGGACAGTCAGCAGCCCCCAGGATGTGACAGAACCCATGGGAACAGAGAGCACCGACCCCGAACCCCGAGATCTGGGGGCTCCRAGTGTCCCCAGCCCTTGGGGGCAGGAGGGACCTGGACCCCCRGATGTGGCTGTCCCCAAAGCCCCAGAGCTCGATGGCCACCGAGGGGCAGAGTGCCCTGGCCCTGGGGACACAGAGCCAGGTGTCCCACAGGGAGAGGGGACAGCGGTCACCCAGGAGCAGGAGGGACACCAGGAACCAGAGCCAGATCCCCCCGGCCTGGATGTGTCAGAAGAGCCAGGGACCRTTGTCACCGACCCCCCTGAGCCAGGGGACCCCCAAGGACTGGGGACATTTGTCACTGGACCCCCAGAGCTGGGTGACACCCAAGGACTGGGGACATTGGTCATTGGTCCGTCTGAGCCAGGGGACTCCCAGGAACTGGGGACATTTGTCACAGGTGCTTGGGGACAAGAGGGACCTTCAGGACCAGAGGTGAGTGGCCCCCACCCCAAGAGTAGGACACCCCTGAGCCCCAGGTGTCCCCCAGTCCCCAAGGGGATGGGAATGGGAACGGGGACAGGAACGGGGATGGGAATGGGGATGGAGATGGGGGCAGAAATGGGAATGGGAACGGGAATGGGAACAGGGATGGGGATGGGGATGGGAATAGGAGTGGCAAAGGGGTGTCCCCATTCCCTGTTCCCATCCCTATCCCCATCCCCATCCCCATTCCGGTTCCCATTCCCATCCCCGCAGGTGGCACCGCCCCCCGCCCGCCCCCCGCCCGGAGGGGGCTCCTTCCCGCTGGGGCTCTGCCCCCGCCTGCGCAGCCCCCGCAAGGGCTGGGGGCGCCGCATCAAGAGCTGGGCCCGGCGCCTGCGCCCCCCCGCTGGAGGGGGTGACCCCCGCACAGGTACCGGGGGGACCCCAAAACTCCTGGA